AGTCTAGGAAGCGTAAGGTGGGCACAATTTGCTTGGCCTGTTGTCCTCGGAGCCCTGGGGCCCTCTGCTGCCACCCAGAGTGACAGAACCTCCTCAGGCAACAGTGTTGTGGGTTATCGTGACCAGCCAGGGGGCTAGTACTCAGGATGGGAGTACTAGCTCCCTGCTCTGCCCCACTGCACTCACATACTCTGGCACCAGGCTGTGACCCTCCCCACACCCAGCGGACACTCACTGGGTGTCCCACAATTCACTCCACCTACCTTGGTGACAGCACCAGACCCCACAGGGCAGGGCCTGGTCCTGCAAGAAGGTCCTTCTCACTTCAGAGCCAGTAGCATGATGGGTCCCCAGGTCACCCCAACACTGCTGGACTTGCGGGGTCCTGGGCTTCAAGGGCATTCCACCCCAGAAGGACTCCATCCCGGATGGGGCTCGGCCCCGTGAACACATGCCTTCCTCCCCATAGGCATAGACATCTTGTACTCGGGCTCCCAGAAGGTCCTGAATGCCCCTCCGGGCACCGCACTCATCTCCTTCAGTGACAAGGCCAAGTGAGTGGCCCCTGGGCCCCCACCCTGGGCTGGATGTGCAGTGAGGCTAGATGGCCCCCAGGAGGGGGGGAAGAGCAAGGGAGGGAAGCCTTGAGACATGCTCAGAGATCCCCTTAGAGTGCTGGACACCTGCCCTAAACAGGTGCCACCCTGGACAGGGAGTGGGTGGCTGGGCATGGTCAGGGCCATGGGTATGGAGCAGTAGCCTGGCCTTGCTGGCCTTCAAAAGACCCTCCTCCAAGAGCCTGGGCTTGTGTGTGGGATGTAGGGCCCTGGCATTCCTGGAGTTCTCCGGGCTCAGGCCAAGGATGGGCCTAGGGCCAGCCCCCAACTTCCACCAGCTCCATGCAGCATCTAGGAGCTGATGCTACAGGTGCTCCATGGGGTGGGCACAGCCAACTTCACCTGGCTGCTGCCCCAACATCCCGCACATCCCGTGTCCTGACTCTAAGCCAGGCCAGGGTGGGCTGGGGAAGGGGATGGGAGATGGGCCCCAGCAGGCTGTCACCAGGCTCATGTTCATGCCGTTTCCCAGAACAGAGACTATCTGGGGGAGGTCAGGAATTCTGCGTGGATAGGGAGTCTGAGATGACCCTGGGAGGATTGAGGAGGCAGCTGGGTCTGAGTCCAGAGCTTGGGAGAGGCCCAGTCTGTGAGGCCAATTTGGAGGCCCCCAGCCTCGGGAGTGGGGTTGCCTAGAGGCCCCTCAATTACACCCAGCTTCACGGATTATACCTCAAGTGTGCCGTGGCCTCCAGGAGGGGTGAGGCCCCAGCTTCAGTTTCCCCTTCGTTGTTTTGATGGATGTGTTTGGACTCACCAACGATGCAGCAGACCCTCCAGTCCTTAAGTGGTCACCTCTCACTGACCTGGGGACTGAGGCCAGACAAATCCACATGACGGGCCAGGGAAGGAAGGCCAGGCCTGGGCCCCACGAGGCAAGCAAGGTCCCCACGTGCAGGATCACACCTGAGAGGCAGAGGTGCAGGCCAAGCCCAAGGGCCAGCAAGGCCGGGCTGCCCGAGGGGCCTGCAACCCACCTGGGCCTGTCCTGGGTCCCTACCTCTGAGGAACAGGAGGGGTTGGGGAGATGGCCACACAGGTGTCCAGCTGGACAGGTGGGCACTCAGGCTGGTTCTCTCCCCCTCTCCCCGCAGAAATAAGATCTACAGTCGGAAGACGAAGCCCTACTCCTTTTACCTGGACATGCAGTGGCTGGCCAACTTCTGGGGCTGCGACGACAAGCCCAGGAAGTGAGGGCTGGCAGGATGGGGGACCTCTCCCTACCCCCAGCCCCTCATCACTGGGTTCCAAGTCCCCCATCAGTGCCCCTACCTGTGTTCCCCAACTTCTCCCTGGCCTGGGGGGGGGCTTGGGGCCCCCCTCCCTTTCCTGGAGCCTTGTCCCCCCAGAAGTCCCAGTGTGGCAGCAGGCACTTTGGACCTGGCCATGTCTCCACATTTCTATGCCTCAGTTTACCCATATCTCAAAAGAAGGGGGTGAACCAGGGGCTCTCTGTGAGGTGGCTTTGGCCATAACTCAAGGCCCTTATGTCCCATATGGGGACAGGGACACCTGGAATTGTGCTTATGCAGCAGGCTCAGTAGGTGCAGTGTGGACGCCTCAGGGCCACTGGGGCCAGGGAGGCCTGGTGGGAGGTGGGAGCCAGCACGGGGCCTCTGTGCTTGTCAGCATCGGCTGAGGTGTGGCCGATGACCCTCAGCCCCGCTCCTGTGGACCTAGTTGCCCTCCAGCTGAGTTCCTGATTCCCACACTGGGAAGGGAGCTGGTCCCGTTGTCACAGAGCCCGACCCAACTGGGGCTGCCTGGCCCCAGCCTGGTGACACGCGACCAAACCCCCTCCTGCCTTCCAGATACCACCACACGACCCCTGTCATCAGCCTGTTCAGCCTGAGAGAGAGCCTGGCGCTCATTGCTGAAGAGGTGAGGTGCGGGCCGAGGGTGGTGGGGACAGAGCAGGGGCGGGCAGGTGCCGAGTGACGCAGTCCAGAAAGGCCCGGCCAGCAGGAGGGATCTGAGGAGAGACGCGATGCGTGCAGAGGGGAGAGGGTGGAGGAGCTCGGAGTGAGGCCAGAAGCCGGGTGTGTGAGTATAAAATGACCCAAGTTCAGCAGCCACGGCCAGCTCCCAGGATGGGGTCGGGAGCCGGGCAGGGACAGTACTGGGACCGCTGTCCACACAGGCTCGGCTGGCTTTGCAGAGCACAGGACAGGACACAGTGCCACAGCACAACCCCCCTTCCCTGTCCTGAACCCCCCCGCTCCCCCCAGGGCCATCACCAGCCCCCTGTCCAGGGAGAGACCAGGGCTGCGGGCAGCCTCCCCTGCAGGCTCAGGGCCTGCTTTCCCTCCTGTGTCTGCCCCAGGGCTGAGCTGGAGTCGCCAGGCTGGGCCCTGTGCTCACAGAGGGTGGCTTTGAAGGTGGGTGGCAGTGTGAGCTGTGTAGGGCAGGGAGAGGGGGCCCACATGGAACTCAGGTTGTGTGGTCAGTGTCCTGGGAAGATAGGAGGCAGTGTGTGGCCCAGACACCCCCTGCCCTCCCCTGGCCAGCTCCCCACCTGAACAAAGTGCTCTCCACTCACCTCCCCAGGGCTCCAGTGCTGGCTGGGCCCCACCGCCTCACCCGAGGTAGCCCTGGGGCAGAGCCGTAGCCACAAACCTGGGGGCTCAAGGAGGCTCTTGGGGGCTCAAGTTCCAGGGCAGGGGAAGGGCCCTCCCAGACTGAAGCAGCCCCCTTGTGGGTGGCAGTCTGAACCCTCCTCCCCACCCACCCTGCCCACGGGTGCCCCTGCCCACGGGTTCCCTCTCCCTGAGCAGGGCCTGGAGAACACTTGGCGACGGCACCGGGAGGTCACCTCGTACCTGCAAGGGCGCCTGCAGGGGCTGGGCCTGCAGCTCTTTGTGAAGGATCCCGTAAGGAGGGCAGGGTGCAGGGGAGGAAGGTTCTGCCCCGGGGGGGCTGTGGGGAAGGGGACAGCTCCTGCCCAGCCCCCCCAGATGGACACAGGTTCCTGTGGTTCTGGGGAGGGAGGACAGTGGCCATCACTGTCAAGGTCCTGGCTTCCTGGCCTGATTCTTAGGACATTTAGTTTGGTGCCCCAAAGCCCCTCCACCTGAAGTAGCTATGGGTGATCCCAGGGCCAGGAGACGCCCATCAGCCTCCAGAGCCAGTCAAGGGCT